GACACCAGCAAGGAGCCACTAGCTGCAGTGGCAGCAGCAACCAAGTCATGCATTTAATTGGTGTCTTATTGAATTCTTTCTCGAAGCTACGTTTTGTGCTACTTATTCTGACATGGAAGGCAGTAGTTTCATTTTGTATCTGCATCTGACTCAGTGAGGTTTTTTTTTCTGTGCTGCCATTTGACCTCAATCCTGATAGCAGTTTTTTGTTGCACCATCAGACTTAAAGGAGGATTTGTATTTTTGGAGAAAGGGGCATGTGTGTGCTTCTTTTTAGTTGAGTGAATCCCTGCCATTCTTTTAGGCTTCTTTACAAAAACGTTAAGAGCAAGATCTGCATCCCGATACATTAAAAAAACTGAAGTTTCTTAACTTGCATAGATAACCCCAATCTGTTGGCCTCCAATGTATTGGACTACAGTTCCCATTAACCATGGCCAGAAATCAACATGATGGGAGCTACAGTCCACCCAGGACCAATCCAAGGTATTTGATAGCCTGGGACAAAGAACAATATGGCATCCTCTCCCCATTCCATGCACAGAATCCAGCTGGACTAGCAGATGACTTTTACTTCCAACAAACATCTTCCTCCACACTTACGTTATATCGCTTCACCTTTAAATAGAAGGATATTATTTATTTGTGATTTAATTAATTGTAGATTGAGTTAGATCAGAATATTATTTTCACAATTGTTGTGTAACTTTATTTTGTTTCCAGGAAGCTGAAGGCAATATACATAGTTCATTTCCACAGCTTGTTTTATTCACATGAGTTTATGAGGGTAGAAAGCTGGGAGAGCATGGATGATCCAAAATCATCCAATGAGTAGTATCATGGAAGACTTGAACTTGGAGCTCCCCAGTTATAGTCTGTCACTCTAGCTACTACACCGTACTGACTCACCTTGAGAAGGAACGTGGATGTCCAATATGGGAAGTCTTGAAGTCAACTTTCTGGCAACAGCTGTGAATTTCTCCATTCTGCTGCACCACCCTTCTTCTTGAAAGCAACTCTCAATTCACACTGGATTATAAAATACTAGCTACCTCTACCAGCCATCAAGCTCCAGTCCTTTCTCTTCTGTCACTATGATCCACCTTTTCCTACAGACACTCCCTGTAACAGCAGTGACTGCTATCCTGCCGCTTCTTCAGCAACAGGGAAAAGGATGGCTTCACAGCTGTGACAGAACTCCATGTGTGGTGAGGCAAGGGAGAAGCATCCTGGGAATTTAATCCAAGTAGACAGATTCAGGTCAAATGCTGCTTGCATTCAAACAAGAGGAAAGAAGAGGAAGGAAAGAGAAAGAAAAGGCACAGAGCCCAAAGGCTGTGAGTGCCTGTAAGGTACCACTCCTCCCTTGTTACCCTGTAGCAATGTAATTGTCATGGGTCTACGGCCAGCTACACCAAAACAACCAAGGTCTCACAGTGCAGTTCACACTGATGTCTTCTGAGGGCAATCGAATGCAAGACAGTTGAAACTATATTAAATGAATATTTTAAATAGGAACGTGAGGTGAACTGACTCCATAAAGGAAGCCACAGATTCCGGATTGCAAGACCTGAACAAGGCTGTTAATGATACAATCTTTTTGAGGTCATTAATTCATCATGTTGCCATAATTTGGAAGATACCACATAATGAATGTCTTGAGAAGACTAAAATACTCATTGCTGTATAGCTCAGTGGTTTAGCTATCTGGCTGCAGACGGAGAGGCTGGGAGTTCAATTTCCCACTGTGCATCCCTGATAGAGGCGGGACTCGATGATCCGCAGGGTCCCTTCCAGTTCTAACATTCTAGTAGGCATCCTTCAGTCTCAAGAGACTAGGGTAACGTGCTCTGAATAGAGGTCTTGGAACAGCATCTAGTGTGGCTGAGAAGGCCAATTCGGGCGTGACAATCCCTTCCACACTGAAGACACAGTCTGTCCCCTGTCCAGCTCCCTGATTTTGCTGGTTTCGAGACTGCCTCTTTGCCTTGGCTTGCTGGACAAGTGTCTCGTTAAATTGGGAGAGGCCATGCTGTACCGCCTGCCTCCAGGCTGAATGCTCAGATGTCAAGGTTTTCCATCTATTGAGGTCCATTCCTAAGGCCTTCAGATCCCGCTTGCAGATATCCTTGTATCATAACTGTGGCCTCCCTCTGGGGCACTTTCCCTGCACTAATTCTCCATATAGGAGATCTTTTGGAATCCGACTGTCAGCCATTCTCACTACATGCCCAGGCCAACGTAGACGTCGCTGTTTCAGTAACGTTCATGTATCATGCTGACAATTCCAGCTTGTTCCAGGACTACACTATTTGGAACTTTGTACTGCCAGGTGACACCAAAAATGCAGAAGATTATTTTTATAATCTAAGATGATGATGATGATGATGATGTTCATTATCATCATCATCATCATCATCATCATCATCATCATCATCAAATATCACTACTATCCACCCCTTTCTACAGATACTGCAGAAACAAAAAGAACTTGCTGGATGGACACTATAACAGAGCTTGATGTGGCAATAAGCATCCAGAAAGCTTGGAGACTACTGGAAACACTAAACAATGATCCAAACTAAAGGACACTGTAGTGTAGGCAAACATCCTCAACTAAATAGCACATCAACTGCTCCTGGCAGGGAAGATCAACCAAAGCTAATAAAATATATCAACAAAGAGATATTTAGAGTGAACCCAATGAACTTTCTACTGCCTTCATATCGGGGGAATTAGAGCAAGCCATAAGAATACAGTGGTGCCCCACTTGATGACGTTAATCCATTCCGTTAAAATCGCTGTTAAGCAATATCGTCGTCAAGTGAAAGAAAAAAACCACTGAAATGCATTGAAAACCGGTTCAGTGTGTTTCAATGGGCGAAATACTTGATCGTCCAGCAAAGATCCTCCATAGGGGAAGCCATTTTCTATCACAGTCTTCTGGAAAGAGGTCTGGAAAACAGTGGGCGGCCATTTTGAACCCCCAACAATCTGCTGTTTTTGATTGTCGGGAAGCGAAAAATCGGTTCCCGAAGCAGGGAACCAATCGTCGTGAAGCAGATTTTACCTATTGAAACATCATTTTGCGATCGCAATAGCGATCACAAAAACCTCATCGTGAAGCGATTTCGTCATCTACGGGGTAATCGTCAAGCGGGGCGCCACTGTATGTAGGAATGTCCTTAGACAATTCCTAAAATCAAAGAAAAGTTTTCTGTACACATCTTGAGCTCTAAATATTAAACCAGAAGAGGCTAGGCTAAACTTATGGAGAACAAAAAAACAAACAAACAAAAAACACCTTTCCAAATGGATGAATGTTAAAGAGTGCCTCCCACCAGGACAAGACTCTGTCTGGACCATCTGGAAGTCACTTCATAGACTTCAAAGCAAACTAGGAAGATCAAAGAGTAACCAAGAAAGATGTGGCTACATGAATACAGGACATGGTTTCTGTGAGTGTGGAGGAATTCAATCAATGTAGCACTTATGTACATACCATTTTGGCCCCACCACATGTACACAGATCTAGAGATAATGCTACTGAAGAAGCCCACTTCTGGTCAAAAATAGTTTAATTATCTTAACATTTTAATTTGGCTATGATTGTACTTATATTTCATATACATTCCTAATTTTAAATTGTGCAATATTCTGATATGAATTGTCATCAAAGCTACCAACATGAATTTGACCCAACTCCGGGAGGCAGTGGAAGACAGGAGGGCTTGGCGTGCTCTGGTCCACGGGGTCACGAAGAGTCGGACACAACTAAATGACTAAAGAACTGATATGAATAAAGAAAGAAAGCATCAAAAGTTTAAAAACAGACCCTCCAGTCTGAATTCTCTTCATTTATAGAGGCAGTTTGAAGTTTTGGCAACAGTTACCCAAAAAGAACCAGCTGGTTCTATAACAACTTAATGAACAACAATTTAACTTCATTTCTCAGACCTGGACTGAGGAATTCACATAAGTAGCTATAAGAATAGAAGCAGTCTACTCCAATATGCTCTTGCAAATATAAAGTATCTGTTACTCAAGGCTAGTACAGACATTACATCTTCTGAAGGATGCCTATGTACCTCTAATGCCACCCACTGCCAGTACTAGAAATCCATGAACCCCATTTGTTTGGGACATTGCTTGTTACATGAAATGTGCCTTCCTACCTCAAACTAGTAGTGGCCCAGATACCTAAAGATTTTGCTTTTATGTAGCTGAAAAAGCAAACAAGGCCCTAATTATACTTCTGCTTTAAAAAGTAATAATAATAAGGTACTTTCCAGGCTGAGGGCTTTTATATTCTGTAACTCAAGTACTCATCAAGCTTTTAAGAGCAGTGAGGCTAAGAACTTGAGCAAGCCAACCCACAATTGCCAGTTTTTGTGTAATTAAAAAAAGTCTTTTCTGTGAAGGTTATATACCTTCTTTTCTTAGCAGGAGGATTTGTACCTTCCCTACTTTCTTTATAGTGATATAGTCATTTCTCCTGCAGTGCAGGTTTGATTTAGTCTAGGGTATTGTTAGCACTACTGTCAATGCTTCTGTCCAATCCAAAAATAAAAATACCCTGCAAGGTATTTGCACAAACCTGGAAAGTTCAGAAGTTCTGGGGGAAAGGGGGGGGAAGCAGAAACCGAACCATCGCTGCAGACTGCTTGACTGACGAGCCAGGTGCAGCCACGTGCAGGTACAGGGGAAGACAGGTACTTCTTGCTTGGCAGGAAGGTTGGAGGGGAGGACAGCAGAGCCAGAGAGAAGAGGGCTCTCTCTGTTATTCCTACTGTAAATTATCCCTTGACTAATACTGCAGCTGAATTGTGTATAAGAACACACACTCCTGAACACCTGAAGTTCATACCTTCTCTATAGGCAGATGAGGTTCACTTAAAAGAAGGCAGGTATTAACTTTGTTGCAAAAATACCAGACACTCTTTGTTTCACTACACAAAAGACTAGGAAGTTGGATAATTAGAAAACAAACAGACAGACAGACAAGCAAACAGCACATTACCCATTCCATTTCTTTTTATTTCTCAAAGCAACAGGTTAGCAGCCGATTGCACAAATGTGCGATGGGCAAAGGTGTAACTAGTCTCTCTCTCTCTGCTTTTTCACTGAGCTGGCATTCCTTGCAGACAAGGGACACATCTGCCACCCTTGTTCAAGCTGCACTCAAGCTACTATAATTTGTCTGGAGAGAAAACCAGATTAATGATAGCGTGTAGAGAATCCCATCTCCAGAACCACAGGTTTCCTACCCCCCTTACAGCATAAATCCTCCCTTCAGCAGATACCCTTTTCTCCAAATAAAATCTCTCCAATATACAAAACAAGCACCAAATTCACATTTACCAAAGTCCTTTTTCTCTTCAACGCCACCCATTCTTGCGTCCCCAGATCCACCCTAGTTCAGCAGGCCTGGGGAATACACATTGCTCCACGCTGCCCATTGTTGCTGTGGACATCACCAACCCTCACCTCCACCCCATTTGCTTCTCTCTTCCCTCAAACTGCAAGAGGTTTGTATGGCACAGTGTGAGATTGCAGCGTTCAGTATGTGGGTCTCAAGTCACGCCACAGGGAGAGTGGTCCATCAACGAGGCGTCTTGCCAACCAGTTGCAGCACTCGTTGAGAAAGACAGAGGCTGGCAGGGTGGTGAGACAGATATTGGCACAAAGCATAGGGGCAGACAGAGATAGAAAGCACCTGGCAGGGGAAAAAACAGGGACAGGGTTTAGATGATCTAACACCAGTGGCTCCTGGCAGCCCTGCTCTTCCCCCAGTCCCCCTCCAGCTCATTTCCTCCTACCCTTTGCTCATTCTTGTCCTTCAACTCACCTTCCCACTCCGGCAGACTCCCAACAAGCTATGGGGCCTGTTGTCATCACGTACTGTAGCAAAAATGATGTCCCAGGGCAGCTGGATGTGATGGATAGTTTGTGCTGTCTCGACATCCACAAGGAAGAGTAAGGCATGTTTGGTAAGTATCACCACTATGCCCAAGTCAGGGAGGAACTAAAGGATCGAAATGTGGGGAATCAGATACAAGCAGAGGCCCGGGAATTTACTTATTGGAAGTAATCACAATGATAGTCCCAAAGTCCCTCAGATGTACATACTGCTATAATTATAATTCTTTGTTTTTCCATTTCTTCAAAGTAATTAAAACAGCCCTTTTTAGTCGTTAAAAAACATTTTAATGTTGCAAGCCTCTGGTGGAAAATACACTCATTGTGTTCACCTCGCCATTGCCTCAGTTTGCAAAATGAAGCATAAGCCAGCACTTGAGCCATGGGATATTCCTCCTCCACTATTAGTGAGGCTAGATTTTTGCAACTAGAAACAACTGAACAATTTATAGTAATGGTGCAAATTTTTTTAAAAATGCTACTCTGTTAAATGTATAGATACAAGATAATGAAGTTATACCTTTATTTTTGAGGAAATGAAAAACAAGTAAATAATTCCTTGGTCATTTGTTACCGTATTTTTCCATGTATAAGACTATACTTTTGTCTAAAATCTTTAGACTAAAAATTGGGGGTCGTCTTATACACGGAAGTAAGCTGAAGAGAGAACAAAAATAAGTGGAGGGGAAAGCAGGGATCAGAGCAATCCTGCAGCGCTTTGATCCCTTTCCCCCTACACTTGCTAAGCCCCACTTTGATTTCTTAATTTCGGATTAGAAAAGTGGGCAGCATCTTATACATGGGGGTGTCTTATACACGGAAAAATTCAGTACTTTCAAGTTCTAGATACAGTAAGCCTATGACGCCCATATCCTAGAAAACCCTAACACTACAGTAGATTCTTGAATGGGAAACCAGCAACGGAAACATGCCTAGCACTTCACAACAAACCAGGAAAATGACAGCCAAACATACACTGGGGCAGATGGCAAAGGCACCTACAACAGGGGCAGGGCACTGTATCCCACTTGCCCATGATCACCATGTGTCATATTACATAAACATGAGCTAATATTTTATAGGCAGAGCTTGAAAAGTTACTTTTTGGATTGACGTTCTCAGAATCTTCCCGTTAGCATACCAATGGTTGTGCTGGCTGGTGGATTCTGGGCAATAAATGGGAAAAGAGTAACATTTCTGAACTATAATTATGGTGCACACATGCTTGGTACATACACAAAAATGTAAAATATGTAGGCAATGCCTGCAGAAATTTCAAGGGTGATAGGATAATCAGAATATCCTGCAGTCAATGACTGAGCCTCAATATTTAAAGTTTTCTGTTATTCACTCCTGTATGTCTGTGGCAGCAGATTTATGCCAAATAAAATTATAAGCCCTCTAACTAATTCAGTCTTCCATGTTTGGCTTTTTGGTGTGTAATTTGCACACTGATAAGCTTTTAAAAGGCATGGCATGCAAAGTTTTGTTGTAGGTTTTTATAAGACTTTAGAATGGCTCCCTCTCTACCTGATGTCCTCGGGGGGGGGGGTTGTTTTCCCTAATTGCCAGTAAATTTATATTTATTTATTATTCAGGTATTGTATTTATATACAGTATTGGCAGTACTGATTGATTGTATTTATATACCTCCTATCTAGTGGCAAGCCAGTTTACAAAAGTCAAACACATAGGTACAATACAAACCCAAAATTATACACAACAGTGACAATAAAAAAACAGACATAAGGATAATGTAAGAACACACACACACACACTGGACAGTGTCAGCTACATAACACAAGATGGATCAGGGAATCTTTCACATGGGGAGATGTTCCTGAACACCTCTTTGAAAAGCACATTTTAACCTGCTTCCTGAAGGACAGAAGGGAGTTGCAGTGAAATGCATATGGGAGGCACCAACTTTGGGGAGGCTGCTGTTGACTGGGGGTGTATGGCCCTTGGCCAGATTTCATGCAGTCCTTGACCCGATTTCAAAAACCTTCTAGAAGAAATCAGTTCAGGCACCTGCACAAGTGATCTATCCTTTCTCCAGCAGCCCAACAGGTGGGGAAAGAGAGAGGGAAGCCAATGATAAAGAACAAGAAAGGAGAAAGAAGAAGAGAAAGTTGGGGAACTTGAACATTTTTCTCTCTTGTCCTGTCCCTTCCTGGCTGTAGGTCAGACAGGGTTTTTTTGTTTTTTTTTTGTTTTTGGCCATACTTGCATTTCTAGCTCAGTTACTACAAACAGCCTCTCCAAGACTGCAAGGAAACTAACCTGTACAGCACTAGGAAAGTCTCCAACTGAAGCCCCCTTGAAGGGCAAGGTGCCACGAGCACTAAGTAGGGCTGCATTCCCTGTCTGGTGTGGGCCAAGCTCCACCACATGGAACTGAAAGTCAAGCATGAGAAAAGGATGCATGGTGATAAAATTCAAGTAAATTGCCACCATCACAGCCAGCAGCTCCTAGTCAGTGCAATTCAGTAAACTGCTGCTATCTTGGATCCAACCTTTCTCTTCTTCTGCCCTCAACCAAACCCAAGCTCACCTCACCAGTCCGTTCCTTGCCTCTCCGTACAGCAGCCAAGAGGGCAGTTGAAGGGTTTGGATTGCTGGAAAATCTGTGCTGAGGCAAAGCCATTGCTTGAGCTTCTATGACCTGAGATAGGGGTCCCCCTCGCCAATAGAGTTGGGTGAGACCCACAACTAAGCCCTGTGAGGACAGAAAGAAAGCAGTTAGGACCGGCTGGTTAACCTGTGACTCTACCCACATGCAGCTGCTAACAGATTCAGAACTTGGAAAAAGCTACTTTTTTGGACTACAGCTCCCAGAGTCCTCAAGCCAGCAGGGCCTCAAACAGAAAGAGAAAGGGTTTCCCATGACTAGATTGGACTACATCAGCCAGGTGATTAATGAGATTCAGAATAAAACAAATTTCATGCCCGTGAAGCTAATGAATATGTACCTGGTCAAGTCCTAGAGCTAAAAGGGCCATCCAGCTATGACTGGCATCCCGTTGATACCCTATCACTTCCATGCCCCAAAGTCGTTCATGCCGGCTGAACTGCCATCTTGGTCTGGTGCCTTTGAGGAAGATTACAAATGAGAAAGGGAACCAATGTTTCCAAGTCAATAGCTGCAGTTCATATAACATATCCTAAGAGCTTCCATCTGCTTTTAAAGGTTTGTCCTAGTGAATACTCGTAAAGCTTTTTTCCCCATTTTTGACTAATTCCTGAAGATTTATCGAAGCAATTTATCTATGTATAAACATTCTAACTAATAAATCCACATGTCTGCTTATCTGGTTCATTTACCATACTACACGTCCTAGCTTCACCTTTCTCACAATGCTTTTAACTTCTCTAACTACTCCAGTGTCTCCCCTGATGCTCAACTCTATCCATCACCCATCTGGTTCTACCACCTACCTCTAAAACACCAAAAATGTACATCACCTTTCATGTCTTCCATGAACTATTTATCCCCATCATCTTAAACCTAAGCTTGGTAAAGTCAGATTTTTTATTATAACCTCAAAAGGCCCAAATCAGATTGCCAAAACCATGCTGACTAGGGAATTCTGGACATTGTAGTCCAAAATACAACTTTTCTAGGCATTGCCTCATGTTGTTATTCTCCCCATTCCTGTGATACTCACGTTTCAAAGTCCAGTGGAAGACATCTACTTCCGTCACTACAGCCAGAGTGTCTGCATCTAACCACATCCAGTGCTCAATAGGGTGGGCAAATTCATAGTGGTACCTTAAGGAACGCTGGTCCACATCATAGACCTGGGCCAGCTGCCCTGCTGAAAGAAAGAAGAGAATATCTCAGAGGATAACTATAGTGAGGAGGTTGTTATGACACTCAAGGACAAATCTGTGGAAACATGGACATTCAGCATGTTCAGGGTAAATCTGCACCTCATCTTGTAAACTGCATGAGGAGCCATCAAGACCACACCAAAGAATGAAAAACTATTAATTGGGTCTGTGGCGTCTGCCCATATCATGAATATTAATGTGCTATCTGCATGTACCAATGAGAGTGCTGGAGAGGCAGAATCATGAGATATAAGAGTCTCATCATGGGGAGGAGAGACTAGAGGATGGTGGATTTGGATTTTGGCGGGAGACAGATTGCTAAGCAAGGGCTGATGTGTACTGAACCGATGAAGACTATTAAGGACTCTTTAGTTCAGAACAAACGATGTTGGCTTAACCTTTATTCTTTGTTACAATAAACTATTTCTGCTTTATATATAAAATGACATGTTGCCTGGACCCCTGTCATTAACGTTGAATGCTGTGAACAACTGGTGGCAACTGAACATCTCACAGCATGAGCCTTTGTTTGGTCAAACAATCAAGGGGCGCACGGGGAAGATGACAGGCCCCTTTCAAGGAGTGAGGCAGGGTAACATATTTTAAATAAATACATGACAATATGGTGTTCATTATGTGTTCCATCAACACCAGAAATTATTCTAGAAAGAGGGCTGAACATATAGCACAGAGAACATTAATCTAACAGGATATAGATACAAGCAGGGTGGAAAAAGATCTATGTGTTTTTTTAAAAAAATCTATTTAAATTGTCAAAAATTCCAATTTTAATTGACATTATGATGTAAATCAATAATTTTGGTTTAAATTAAATCCAGCTTGATAAAGGAACTTTATCTTCTTCAAACTGTTTCAAGATAGAGACCAGCAAATTAAAAGAACTCATCTTCCTCACTTTCAAACAGAAAATACAAGAAACTAAATTAAAAAAAAACACATTACAATATTTCATATTAGTTTAAATCTGAGCCCCAGCATCTCATTTCAGACCACTATGTCAATGAAATCACATGCTGGTCTCAAGTACACACCTCCTGCAAATAATTTAAGCTAATAGTGGGCAACTGTTGTCCTCAAGCACTGTTTGGTAGTAACTCCCAACTCTTTTACTAGTCAGTATGTTGGCTAAGGCTGAAAGGAGGTGTAGGATATTTTTTTTAAAAATCTGGGGAGCCCACAGTTGCCTATGCCTGCTCTAAGTACAGTGGTGCCTCGCTTTACGATTGCCCCACATTACGACGAGTCCGCTTTATGGCGATCATTTTGCGATTGCAACTGCAAAACAATGGTCTAAATGGGGGAATTCGCTTTCTGATGATCGGTTTCCTGCTTCAGGAACCGATTCTTCACAAAACAATGTTTTTTAAACAGCTGCTTGGCAGTTTCAAAATGGCCACCGGGTAATTAAAATGGCTCCCCGCTGTGTTTAGGAACAGATTCCTTGCTATACAGGCAGCGAAAATGGCTGCCGTATGGAGGATCTTCGCTGGACGGTGAGTTTTTACCCCATTGGAACACACTGAACGGGTTTCAATGCGTTTCAATTGGGTTTTTATTTTCGCTTTACGATGTTTTCGCTTCATGGAGATTTTCCTGTAACGGATTATCGTCGTTAAGCAAGGCACCACTGTATCTCTCTTCTCCACAGAAAATGTAGTCTTCCAGAAGTTACTAGACTACGAGTCCCACTGGCTATGCTGGCTATTACAGATTACGGGAACTACAATCCAAAATGTTGAAGGCCACACGGCCTCCTCCATGCCCCACTAAATCCCACTTTCCTCTCCACAGAGGCCAGTCAATACCTCTAACAGCAAGCAACGGGTGACAGGGATTTGCCAGGGCCCCTTCCACTTGATGCAGTGTCCAGCTTGGGGGAGGCTCATTCTCCTTAGGAGACATATGGGGATCTAAGAGGGTGAGAGAGTGTCTTGAAAAGTCTCCAGGAGGGCTGTGCCGCACACACAGGCGAGAGGCAGAGGTGAGCGTCACACGAGGGTAAGTGATGTATTCCAACATGATGCCATAAGCTTGGAGCTGCACAGAAGAGGGGAAAGGGGAATTCAATTTTATTTTCAAAACAAACTGTGGTGCAGGTTAGGCTGAGAGAAATGATAACCCATGGCCAGTAATTTAGGCTGGACTTTATAAAGTTGCCTCAATTCTGAATAAACATGCATAACATACTACAGTGGTGCCTCGCTTAGCGATGTTAATTTGTGCAGAAAAAATCGCTGCTAAGCAATAACATCATTAAGCGGAAATAAAAAGCCCATAGAAATGCATTAAAACGCGATTAATGCATTCCTATGGGCTTAAAACTCACCTTTAAGCGAAGATCCTCCATAATGCTGCCATTTTTGGTGACTCTAAAGCGAGGAATCTGTTCCTGAAAACAGCGGGCAGCCATTTTGTTTCCCCGGTGGCCATTTTGAAACCGCCGATCAGCTGGCCGAAAATGGGGGCTTTGCGATGATCGCTTCCCTGCGATCATCGCAAAGTGAAATTTCCCCATAGGGACCATCGCAAAGCAATCGCTTTTGTGATCGCAAAAACAGCGTTGCTAAGCGATTTCGTCGCTATACGGAGTGATCGCTATGCGAGGCACCACTGTACTTATTGCTTAAGCAATCTCTCGGGCTGATTGGAAAGTTGAACTTGGGTCTCCCTAGCCCAAAGTGACCATTCTTACATTCTCATACTGTACACTGCAAACCTGCCATAGTCATTATAAGCAAACAGTTATGTAACACTCTTAAACACTAATCTGGCATAAGCGTTCATGAGTTGCAGCCCACTTCATAAGATGCAAGCCAGACTCTTTTATTGCTTTTGCTGAAATAGACAGAAACATCTACCACCCCTCATGACATTCAGTTAGGAAGTTAACTGCAGCCAGAATAATTGTATGAAGTGGGAGAGGGGAAGCAAGTGATTATTACTAACTAGCTGCAAAAATCTTTAATATGAAAATGAACAAATTGACAAGTTAAAGTGGTTTTATGCAAGTCTAATTTCAAAATATAAAAGCCTTCTATTCCCTGTTAAAATAAAAAATTCTCTTGACAGTCTTCAGGAATATAATGTTTTATACTGTAAATTTGAAATGTATTGCAAAAGTTGATTTATATTGTAAATTCAAGATTGATGTAGATCAAGAATAAAAAAATTATAATAATAATTGGTTGCTGTCAAGTCAGTTCTGATTTATGGTGATACTTGCCAGATTTTTTTTAAAAAATATACATTACAACTTTTGGGGGAGTTCTGGAACTGTGTAGTTTGTCCAAGGCTACTCAGGCTGGCTTTTCTCCCAGGAGGCATGGGGGGGGGGAACGCTATTTCTGACTCTGAAGTCAGATCCCCCACTCACTGAACTATCTAGCCAGGTATTTTTTTAAAAAATACATTATCAAAACAAGCAAACAAACAAAGGGGGAAAAAGTCAGCTTATGCAACTACAGTAGACACACACACAAAATGCAATTTGCACTTGAAGCAGTCCCAAAGTAGGGCAATACATTATCATGACAAACTAATAAACAACAAAGCTTTAAACAAACTTCAGGTTCCTTAAAATTTATCAGGTTGAATTTCTAAAACTATTTAAAATCCAGAAAACAAAATAGAAGAGCTTGTTCTCTTATTTTCCATAGGACTTAGTTCCAAGTACTGTGAGTAGGCAAAGGTTTAAAGTTTTAGGTTGCAATTCTTTTATGTACCTGGAAATAAACCCCTCTAATGTCCTCTTACTCTTTATTCACACGTAATTCTGCACAGGCTTGCAGGCTGAGCTGCCCTCTTATAAACACTCTTACCTGTGAGTAAGAACTACAGAAATCAGTGGGGTTTACTTCCAAGTAGTCCCATTCAGGACTGTACTGCAACAATGCAATCCTATGTTTATGCTGAAATAAGGCATCCTAAATGTCTGGATTTTTCCATGGATTTTTCCAAACAGTTATCCTAGATATTTTCCACTGATTTCTATGGGCAGTTTCGCCTTCTAGATTTGAAAGCATCTTGCAAAGAAAACCTAAAAAAAAACTCCTAGGTAGCCAAAGCAAATCGATGAAACCCATTCCATTTTCTGTGATCACAGGTGCCACAAAATAAACCAGGGCCCGTTTTAAAGCACTACAAATAGCTGCCCACATTCATCATCTTCAGAATAATTTGTTCCTTCCTGATTCTTGACGCAGGTGGCGCTCTGTTTAAGGATGCCTCTTTACTGACCCGAGTCAAAACTTTCACACAGACTGGAGATGTAGAGTCACTCATCTTTAGTACTTCCTCTTCCACATGGGCCTGTAAAGAAAAACCAGGGGGAAAATTGTGATTAAAAGAAAAAGTGGGAGTAAGAAGAGGTGGATCGAACCCTTTAAAATAAATTTTCAGAAGAACTTACCATCTCAGGAAAAATAAGTCACTAGGAAGAGCTGCTTAAAGTGGAAACTCAAAAGGGATATGGTGGAAAAAAGCACCCGATGGAAGTGAAAGCACACACTTTTTTTTAAACGTCGATCCCTTAAAATCTGCAGTCCAGAATGGCCTGTTAGTATTTCCCCCTCCTCTTTTTCCCCAGGTGTACTTTATATTTGCGTTCAGGTTTTATCTAATTAGCCCTTATCAAAAGGGAGGATCCCTCAAGACAGTCTGGAGACAGGAAGGGTGAGTAAGTACAGTACATCCTGATATTTTATTTTTCTTCCCGGTTGATTCAATCCGAATCAGTGGCCCCCGGGGAGAGAAATAAAACAGCATCCCGACGCGGAACAAAGGTGTGTGTGTGTGCCAGAGATAAAACGTGTACAGGGGGGGAGGGAATCCCTTCTCTAGAAAATACCTTATGTGGTACCTAATCAAGGTGTATTGGCTCGTCCGTAGGATTTGGGTAAATGTTTCCACACTGCGAACGGAGACCTTACGTGTCTCATAAAGCAGTAGTTCAGTTCGGGGAGGCTAACGGGTGGGATAAGGAGGATGGGGCTTGTGGATCGAGGGAGAGCCTCACCCCGACATTTTAGGGCGAGAATCGCCGGCCAGACCCCATGGGAAATATCCGAGGAAATCAGACGGTTCCACGAGCTAGTGCCTAACCGTTGATCGTTTGGAATAAAAACATCTTTCAGGGCCTGCCTCTCAGTAACAGGGAAAATTACGTCTACATTGTATTCACCTCAGGCTGTACATTACACACTCTTCTACACAAACGTAGCAATCCGCCCATCGGTAATTCCGGGCCAGGAAGCCTTCTGCCCTCGAATCTTTTCTCTTCATACGACGGTGTGTCACGTAAAGGGGTTCCTCGTGTGTAGTAGCGTCACGGTCCGTCATGAGAACCCCTCCCCTACAGGTCGAAATGGTTCATCCCGGGCCTTCGTTTCATCCCTCTGGGAGCAGTGGGCACAACTAAAGGTTAGGGGTTGGGGAAGAATCGAAAGCTTTCTCGAAATGCGACAGCTTTTACGCCCGGACTGAAGGAGGTTATGGGTTGGGGGTGCAATAAGTTATGGAACAGGTTTTTTTGAAATTCTCTTTTAAACTTTATTCCCTGTGCCTGGGTCCCTGCCCCTGCAAGATGCACTTGCTTGTGACCCCTGTGGCTCAGTGTTTCTCCCTCTTTCTCTCTCTGACGAGGTGGACGAGGATTAGCGGGAGTTCGCAAGGGAATAATTCTGCCTGTCTTGTTGAGGGGCCACAATGCCTTGGTTTTTGATTTTCTTTTGTCCGCCTTGTATATGTTGAAGTAGATTAGCGTGGCTACCTCTTCCAAAACTGATTTTGCAAAGGTTACTTTCAGGACCAGAACTCCCATGAAAAAAGGGCTGGTGCTCCTACAAGTGCATCGCTTGCTGGTGGGGGATACTGGGAGTGTTAGTCGAAAAGCTTTCAAGCTTGGAATGAGAATCTGACATTTGTGTAAATATGGATAGAGTCAGGCGACGTGCTTGCTTGTGACGGAGCAGTACAAGTTAATTTCCCTAGATTATTAAACAGGTTTGCCTAGCAGTTTCCAGTTGTAGCAGTGATACCTTTTTCGTGGTTATGTTTAGGATTATAGCATTAATTAAGGTCCAAGCAGCAGAATCCACCAGGGTAAGAGGGAGGCGTATTAACATCTCCTGGGGCTTGTTGGTTTAGCAAGGTGCATATATCTTCAACGAAAATTTAAATCCTGTAAAGACAATCATACCACTCTGTCTAACAATATTAATCCTAACTTTTACATATGTCTGCCTTCCTCTTCTCCAAAATCCGATAATCTTCATCATCCTTAAAGCTTCTTCCCCCACTCCTCTAAGTGTAAAATTGACTGATTCTCTGCCTTGTTAATGGAAATTAAGTCCTACTGGGGTTTACTTCAAGGTATGTATGTATGTATGTGCAGAATTGGAGTGCTAATTTACAGATTGTGTTAATGCCCAGATTCTGTCCCATTTTTTAAAAAAAGTTCCTTTTTTGCCAGGCACTTCCTGTGCTATTTGGAAAGTTTTCCACTGAGCTCAATAAGAACCCTCATTTGTTGTAACAGTTTAATGTTCCATTTGAATTAACTTGCAGGAATTTAAGAGCATTTTGATACTGGGAAGGGACTTAAATCAAAGGCTTCCTGCAGAACCAGAGTAAATAAACATTGATGGTTTGCTTTTTTTAAAAATCAGATTTTAATTTTTTAGATTGGTTTCTTAATTTTTGGTCGTTAAAATGTTTTTTTTAAAAAAGCCCGACTTAGTAATAGTTTAATTTAAAATATGTTACAGCTCAAAGATCTTATACTGTAATAATTATACTGCTGGCAAGCCAAATCAAAGTTATGGTGACCATTTGTAGGGTTGAAATGGAAATTATACTTTCTAATTCTGTATTATAAAATTGGGTATTCATATAATGTTTTAAAAGTTTTGTAAATGGGGTCCAACAGTTATTGGACTATATGAGATTCTGTAGGCTTTTTTTAACTAGTGGTTTGAATTTATTGAAATTGATTTGATTTAAATTATGATTGAAATCAGATTCATTTAAATAAAATCTATCCTGTGCAAAGCTTCACATTTCTTCAACTCTAATTTTCCTATTTCTTCTACAACTTACAACTTTATTTATTTATTTATTTATTTGATTGATTGATTGATTTATACTCTGCCTTTGTCCCCAACTTTCCTGCTGAATTCTTGTGCCTCAGTGCAGATGTCAAAGGCAGGAGATCCTGTGTTTACTGTGCATGTGAGGAATGTGTGACTATATGAGTTGCTGGACAGCAATTTCCATTAACTGTAGTAGTGCAGCTAGAGGTGAAGGATGACAGGAGTTGCAGGAAAACAACACCTGGAAGGCCACACATTTCCCATCCCTGACATATAGTTGGTTTTTCTGCTCCGGCATTTTAAAATTGACATCTTTAATCTCTGAACTTCCTCTTAAAACATTCTTTATCTACTTGTGCAGCAGCTCATCAATCTCTCTTTCTTACAGTGCACTGTCCGTGTATATCTCTCCAGAAGTAAGGCTGAGTGACTATTTCCAGCTAAGTGAATAAGATCACAGTAACTGGTTTTACTGCTTTCAAAGTTCCTGACATTCTAGCTCCAATCTTTAAAGTATACTTTTGAAAGCTTTTATGTTGCTTGCTTATTTCTTAGTCTTCTACTGCAGTCAAAGTCTCTGTCGAAGCTCTTGCTTCTCCTAGGTTGTCCACCACCCTGGAGTTTAGATTCTCAGCACAAATACATGTTATGGTAGTTTTGTAAGGCTTGCCATCCACAGTGGATCTAGGCATCCAAAGGGAGTAACTTCTTTTATTTCTCGCTCTCAGAGCAGTCCTGTTTTGGGAAGAGTCCCTTTCTGGAACTTTGAGAGGTATGGAAATCATCTCCTCACAATGACATCAAGACTTTCTTGTTCTTTTTCTTTCAAATCTCCAAGAGTAGAGAACGTTGAGGCCTCCAGATATTGTTAGACTACAACACTCATCATCACTGACCATTTGACATGCAGGCTGTGATTAGTAGGAAACGGTATCTTGCGGTACTTGGAAGACCACTGATTTTCATCCTTGTTACATAAGAAATTAACATTTCTTTAATTTGGACATCTTCATAAATGAATAATAAATTGACAGCAGATTCACCTTTCTTTTTCTGGGATGAAAATGAATACAGTATTGGATTGCTTTAAAAAGGCATTTTGATATTATTTTGTTAAGTGGCCTAGGGGAGAGGTATTGACAGGATAGGAGAAAATGTGTAGTCTAAGCAGAAGTTGTGGTGAGATAGGAGACTAGTTTGAGAGCATGTATTGAAAACATCAATGGTCACTAGGAAAGATGCAACAGTAACTATAACTTTGGAGGAGAGAGCTGGGAAGAGAGGCTACTAATGGAAGAAAATATGGAAGATGTGGGCATTGAGGGAGGTATATGGAGTAATGCAGACTAAATAAACCTTACACGTTGTAAAGAGGATGGCAATAAAGGTGACATGGCTTTCTGGTATAATGGAGTACAAAATTTTATTTATTGAGTGGGTGAGGTTTGAATTTTGGCTAGGAGGATATTCTGGGAGGGAATAAGTGAACCTGAGGGAGCTTTAACTCTGTGTTAATGAAGTTTGTTTGTTTATATATGGGCCAATAAATTTCTCTGAGTTACTTAAAAGTTAGATTGAACAAGGTTCCCTGTAGTGTGATTATGTGGGTGTCTTGCAGTTGAATTAGGCAGCAGTGTAGCAATATACATTGTTGTCACCCCCATTTAATTCAGATGTCATACTGGGTCACTTTTGAATGTGTTGCAGCTGGCAGGGTCGTCTCCTCTTTATAAGGAAGATTGTGCTCTATAGAGCTGAAAAAAAGGCACTAGCATCAGGGTCCATGTATGAAGGCAGGATTGCCAGGTCCAGATCCCAAGTGGGCTTTTTCATCTTTCACTGCATAGAACTAAAAATGCCAATGTGTGGCTTTTTCCATTACATGGCAGTGATGACAAGAGAAACTGCAACTATGGACATTTTGTAGTTAACAGCCCTGCTTACTGAGTGCTATGGGATTTGCTCTCTAATAAGACTGCCATCCCTGGGACTCTTTCCAGGAAATAGTTCTATTAAACTAAGTGGTTCGCTATTTCTGAGTGAACTTTTCAAGATCAGGCTGCAAGAAAAGTGCAGGAATCATCTCCTGCTCTGAAGAAACATGGGCATTTTAGCTAAGAAAATGAAGTCTGCAGTCAGTCTGCCTGGAATTGTCCCTTAAAAATTGTTGGCTCTGAAACTGGATTTCCTGTGATTAGGAATTCAGTATACAGTATATACCTGATTCTGAGTGCGACCACTTTTTAGGACACTTTCCAAAACTAAAGGTCTAGGGAGGAAGATGTAGATGAATATTCCCATTGTACAGATGGGGTTGGGGAAATTGTTCAAATCTACTCACCTGAGTAAGCAGGGACCTAGCTTTCAAGTGCACGTGTGTCTCTCTGTGTGTGTGGGCATCCTTCAGTCTCAAGAGACTAAGGTAACGTGCTCTGTATGGAAACTTGGAACAGCGTCTAGTGTGGCTGAGAAGGCCAATTCGAGAGTGACAATCCCTTCCACACTCTGTATGTGTATGTATATAGACACACAAACCATAATTTTAATCACAAGTATTTCTGGCCCTCCTTCAGAGTTATTTGGTGTCGTTCTCTGACAGTGCACATTGCTTTGCTTTGGTTTTCCCTTATGTGGGTCCCCAGTAACACTAGGCCAAGAACAGGAAGTATAGGCGGAGTTTGAACTAGCTAAGCTTCAAA